GACATTTGATTCATGCATTGTCTCCAACTTTACACAAGTGTGCAAAATTTCAGATCGATAGGATAAGTAGAAGTGTGTTAAATTTCGATTACAAGATTTGTAGCAGACAGACAGACAGACAGACAGACAAGAAGTGAAGTTAAAGAGAAGTGTTGTAAAAAGAAAGCCTTCGGGTTCTTTTTTTTTTCATTTTTAGCAATATTTTTTTTCGAGGATTTTACTGCGGTGCGACAGCTTTCTTTAGCTTGATTTCGAGCTCTTGCGTATAGGTTATAGTCAGCCTCGCTACGAGTCTGTAAATAACGCTGGTAGGCTTCCTTCTTTGTTTTCAGCTTAGCTAGAACTGTACTGTTCATCCACTGAGTCTCTTTGGCTCCACCAAGCTTAATTTTAGGTATACACGCATCAACTGCAGACATAACCGTGTCCTTGAGAAATGACCATGACTCAGCCACATTCACATCCTTAATACTGTTCGAAATATTCACTGCATTCACTGGCTCACTGAGTCTATCATAGTCGCCTTTCGCAAAATTCAAACGCTCACGCTTTCGAGGCGTATTCTCTGTACAGCACTTTAGACTGAAAAACAATGATCGGTGATGGCTTTTGCACAATGGAGCCTCGTGACGAAGCTCATCTAACATTGATTCATCACTAGTAAACACCAGGTCTAGAATATTGGGAGTCTGTTTACTTCTATGATGGGTTGGCTTAGGAACGTGCTGGACTAGGAAGGAGTCTCTCACAGACTCCATGAACAAGGATGCTGGGTGATTCTCATCCCTTGGAGAGGATCCATCTGTCCAGTCTAGCTCTGGATGATTAAAATCACCAACGATCAACGTGTGTGACCTACGGAAAGCCATGCTCGGTAAAAGACTGTTTAGTACTTTATCGTTATCGGAGGAACTGTTTGGTGATCGATACACGACGCCTATGAGGAGGCTATCTTTGCCTTTGAGAGAAAGTTCGCACCACACTGATTCTCTAGCTGATTGATGCTCTGCAGATAACTTGATTTGCTGGGCTCCATAAAAGGTTCTAACCCACAAAGCTACACCTCTACTGCACTGCTCTTCATTTAAGTTATGAAAACAATCAAAACCTGGCAACTGAAATTCAACAGGTACAATTTTCCCCCCGTGATTTTTAGGGAGTGTTTCTGTAATACAAATAATGTCTATGCACTCGTTTTCGATCACAGTTAACAGCTCACTTTTTTTTATTCAAAACAGAATCCGAATTTGTGTAAAAACATTTTAAATCTTTTTCGTGCACATTCACTTTGTTGCATGCGTTTACTTCTTACATTATTTACACGGGTACATTACATTACACGGGTTTTGCCCCTCTCACTTTTAACTCGTCTTAATTAAAACGCTAGGCGGCGAAAAATCTTTACTTTTGGTCGCATGAGTTAGTTATATGTATATGTAGTAATGGTTGAAGTTCCTTGAACCAAATACTAGTAATGCGTTCGAAAGAATAATTGAAAACTGTAATTACATATAAGGTGTTTTTAGAATATAAATGTTTAAAAAACGACGGGTAGGTATATATGGTGCACAGTTATACCTCGAAGGAATGGATCACCTCGAGTCCCCTTTAATAGCAAGTACCAGTGTAACTTGATGACCTTTCATACGAGATGTATAGAGCAGCTGCAAGGCATTGACCCTAGCAGGCTAGCAGTCTAGCACCAGCAGTCTGGCACCTGCAGGCTTAGACGGTAGGTCTACGTGCGGCGGATCCATCTGCCGACTAGCTGGAGCCTGGCCATGGGCATGAGATTCGAGAGAGAAGTACAACTCGTATACGTTAATATTTTGTTTTAAACTGACGTTCATTTCTTTCAGGTAAAAAGTACCTGAAATATGTTATAATTCATGTATCACTTTTTTTTTCTTTTGGGTCTTGGGAATAAAGTTGGGATATGCAACAGACATTTCCGAATGCAGACAGTGTTGATAGAAATGTACGTATCGCCTAATTTTTTTATTTATTTCTTTAGCTAATAAGGTTCTTGACAGTCCTATGCTTCAATGCCGAAGATACTATACTTAAGTTAATACTTATACATGGAGCTAGTCTTGGACTTTTGGCTAGTGATTCATCATGTTGTTCTTGAACGGTGAACCCCACTAATCATGCTCTTGACCAGTATTATAAGGTTTTGATTAACAAGCAGTAAGGAACCACATGTAAACCTTGCTTCTAAATGAGTAGATACTCCACTAAGTGGAGTATCTGTATCTGTTTGCTGAGTGGTGCTGTGGTGGGTGGTGACTTATGTGTCATTGACCTTTGATAATTGCAAATGCATTTAACCATTCCCTGCCTTGTAAGGGCCCGTTACCTATAGGCTCTTGGCCCTAGTATCTGGCATGAAATCTATCTACCTTTTGGGCCATGACTACTGACTAGAGCTGTACCATCAATTTTGGAACTGCGAGATTCCTGCAAGATGAATTTCCTTCCATCTAATTATTGATAGAAGTACAAAATTGGGCTGCAAGATTCCAAATGTACAGGGTGATTTGTGCTTTTTTTTTGTGGGAACTTCCTGATTTGAGAGCTCAATAAAAAGAACCTGCAGCAATATCATAACACTCTCACAGGCATCAGCCCATCAGGCATTGGTTATCTGTCAAGTTGTCAACCACCAGTCCCAAAATGAAATTTTGAGAAAGTATGAATGATGCTTAAATAAAAAATCCTCTTTATGTCAACTTGTGAAACCAATTAATATCTAAGATCTGAAATGGTACTTCTGATTTAGTATGAATGATGAAAAAATAAAAATTACTTTAAATACTAATAAATAATAATATACATTTTGCTTCTATTTTAGTAATGAACTCATGATGTGTAGTAAGTATTCAATCCACTGCGCACTGCCTACTGATTTTAACTCATGTTACCAGCCTAATACCAGGTGTCAGGTGTGCCAGATGCAGACTGTGTAGTAAATTGAGCTTAATATTGATTAAGGATGCCAAATATTTGCTCTAACATAGCCATGATATTATCCTGTGTGCTGTGTCAGTGTGTTGTTTGGTGTTTGGCATTTGCACTTCTCCATGTATTGAAATTTTCTAAGATTTCTGATGCCAATCTATTTATATCATATTGATGGATCAATGATCATCAATCAATATACCATACTGTGATTGGATCTGATACAATGCATGGATATCAATATTTAGGTTTATGTGGCTTCAAAGTAAAGTTAATAAATGCTGCTCTCTTGACCTTGAAGGCCCAAATTCATAGCCTTACTGAAATGAATAGGCAGGGAAATGTTTGTTTTTGGCCTTACAAGCAAATTTCTATGAATTAATGCTAATTTGTGTGATTTTCCTATGCAGAGGATAGGAATATCACTTTGAATTGAAACAGTTCTTGAAATGTCTCCTTTACATAAGGATTTAAATAATATAAGCAAGCCTAAGGCATTGTGGCATCCTTCTGGAAGATACATTTCTGAGGGTTCCAACATAAAATGCTTCATGCGCTCTGTTAATGAGGACTTCAATCTTGCAATTGGTAAGTAGTTTATTAATTTATTAATAGGGAGCCAGCATTTTTCCAGCTATTTGTCAATCTTTTAGCCCATTCATCTAGCTTCTAAAGAAGTCAAGGATGTCTTTTAGACCTTGCATTTTCTGCCATTGTGAGTGAAAACAATTTATACAGTTACATTGTGTAAATTTAAATATTAATTCCTAGAACAAATTAATGCCAAAAACTTTGTTAGAGTTTGTCTCAAACATTAAATTATACTAATTTCCATGGTTTCTGATCTGATTGTTAGCGAGAGAAATTTGCAAACTTAGTTTTATTCTCTTAACCTGTGATCACACCCAATTTTACTTAATTCCATCTTGACCAAAAGTTATAGATTATAAATGATTAGGTAATCTAGCCCTAAATAATTTTTGTGTAAGATGTAATTTAATGAAAATTTGTTTTACCAATTCACGCTGTAATAATATGTGTATAAGTATAATATGTATACTATAATAATAGAATAACATGTACTGTAAAATGGGGTAACTTTGATCACTTTTTTTCAAAATGATGCCATTTTTTTACTAGATAAGTTAAACTTAAATTGAAACATGCAAAATACAGGTCTATACTCTAGCTTTACTCACCATAAATTGCTGGCTCCTGCCTCTCATAGTTTTGATGTAATTTCAAAAAAAGTGATGGTCTTTGTTACCCCAGCTCTTGGGGCTTCTTTGACCGGGTGGTAAAATCAATTTTATTTTTTGGTAAAATAACTCCAAATAACTCCAGGTTGTGGTGCATTGTAGTAGAACTCTTCTAGTTACATATGCAAAAGACAAATTTTAGGAAAGTGTCATAGTTTGCAAATGGGGGGCACCGCCCCCAAGTGGGCAAAATGTGACCATCTAATGGCAGCCGTGACGGCCGGTTGGTAACATTGACCGGTTTGGAAATTAAGTTATAATTACCATATATAAGACTCTGTAGAGTCTGAAACATAAAGAAAAAAACATTAATAGGTGTACCGGTATCAAACATAAAATATGTTACATAGGTACCTAAGGTAATTTTAACTTAATTTCCAAGCCGGTCAATGTTACCTCGTCACGGCTGCCATTAGGTGGTCAAAGTTACCCCATTGGGGGGCAGTGCCCCCTATTTGCAAACTATGACACTTTTCTAAAATTTGTCTTTTGCATATGTAACTAGAAGAGTTCTACTACAATGCATCAAAACCTGGTGTTATTTTACCAAAAAATAAAAAAATTGGAGGGGGTACTCCGACAGGCTTTAAATAATAGCTCTTTTTTGTAAGTCACATTTTTAATTTTTTAACCTATTAGATATGCAAACTTTTTAAATCTTTCTATTGTGTTACGTAGCCTCAGTATTAGGCCTTTGATGGCATTGACCAAATTTTTCTATGTCGAATCGTTTTTGAGTTTTGGGGGTTTTTGTTAAAAAAACGAAAAGTGGTCAAAGTTACCCCGCCGGTTGAAGTAACCCCATTTTACGGTACCTTTATAAGCTAGAATAATACAGGGTCCACCGAAAAAAACCTCCCTGATTTCAATAGGCTTTTGCAAAAATCATATGACACATACAAAACAATTAATTTTATTTGTGAATAGCTTATTTGATGCCATTTTACATCACTTAGTGCACTTTACTTGGTTTTGAAAATTATGTTCGATAAATGATGTCCCCCATTGTTAAGACATTCACGAAGTCTTTCCCTGAAGTTGCCCATAGTTCTTTGTGTAAATTCCCTTGTAATGGCTGCCACTTCCTGCATAATGGCCTGTTTTAGTTCTTGCAGATCTGTGACGATGTTTGTACACTTCAGCCTTTAGGTAGCCCCACAGAAAGAAATCGCAAGGTGATAGGTCGGGTGACCGTGGGGGCCAGGAAATGTCTCCTCTTAAAGAAGCAAGACGTCCAATGAACAACTCTCTTAACATTTCCATGGACCGGCGAGCAGTGTGAGTCTTTCTGTGGGGCTACCTAAAGGCTGAAGTGTACAAACATCATCACAGATCTGCAAGAACTAAAACAGGCCATTAGGCAGGAAGTGGCAGCCATTCCAAGGGAATTTACACAAAGAACTATGGGCAACTTCAGGGAAAGACTTCGTGAATGTCTTAACAATGGGGGACATTATTCATCAAACATAATTTTCAAAACCATTTAAAGTGTACTAAGTGATGTAAAATGGCATCAAATAAGCTATTCACAAATAAAATTAATTGTTTTGTATGTATCTTATGATTTCTGCAAAAGCCTATTGAAATCAGGGAGGTTTTTTTGGTGGACCCTGTATGTAGGTACCTCAGAATATTATGTATTATGGTGAGCAATGTCCTTAGATTTTCTCTGTTTTGGATATTAATGAATATGAAATTTAGTATAAACACTTGTTGAAAGTGTATCTGTTCATTTTATTTACTTTGAACTTGTAGGCTATAATTTTTTGTGACTTGGAATGTTATTGAAATCTCTGTATGCATTGTATTAATTAAATTAATATCTGGTATGCAAGAACTTGTTTATATACCTATCCTTAAAGTTGTTCAAGTGCATCTTTATGCCAGCTCTAAATTTAATTTTATCCTCCCCATTTTAATTTTATTTCAGAAAGCTACAAAGAGTTGTATGATTGGTCAATAGAAAACTATTCTGACTTCTGGAGTCACTGGTGGAAGAGAGGTGGCTTTATTAGCTCACATCCTCCTTCACAAACTGTAACAGAACACAAGAGTATTGCTGAGCTGCCCAAGTGGTTTGTTGGGGCACGACTCAACTTTGCTGAGAACCTCCTGCGCTTCAGAGATGAAAGTCCCGCCATCATTGCACTGAGTGATTATATACGTATAGCTTTAGCTTGCTTAAATTGTAATTATATATATCTTTAGCTTGCTTAAATTATAAGGTCAATAAAAATTTTTGAGTAAAGAAAATGGGGAGTACATTCATCAAATCAACATCAAAAACATACCAGATTTGTCATAATTTCTAAAATTTAGATAATTACATTTCTGCTGTTCATGAGTCAACTGGGATCATTGTACTGAGTTCAAGGGCTATGGTGGTAGCCAACAGAGAAGAACCTAGTATCTCTCAGTTGCTTTTAATATTGGGAAGAGTTCAAATATTGAATTTTTCTGTTACAATTTTATAAAAGTTGTTTACTGCTTTTGGTCATACTGGCTTATATTTTATTATTCTACTGTAATTTTCAAAAACTGTAGAGATGCTTCTAAATTTGGTCATGCTTGCAAATAGAAATTTTGGCTAAACTTAATTGAAAACTCAGACTTGAATGTTAATGCCTCATGATTAATTAAATTTTTGCTCACATCAGGTGAGGGCGTCACTACTCCTTTCCGACAAACATACTGTGAACTGTACGAGTCATCACAGCAATGGGCCAAAGCCTTACGCAGAGCTGGGGTGAAAGAAGGCACCCGAGTAGCTGGCTACCTACCCAATGGCTGTGCCGCGGTCCATGCCATGCTTGGTGCCACCACCCTGGGTGGAGTTTGGTGCTCTGCATCTCCAGACTTCGGAGTGACTGGAGTGCTCGACCGACTCCAGCAAGTGCAACCTGAAGTACTTGTTTCTGTTGAAGCAGTTATTTTTAATGGCAAGGTAAAGTTTGCATTTATTTCTTCTAAAATATTAAATGTGAGAGAATCAAATCTTGAATGTCATTAAACTGAATACAATTATGTCCATTGAAGCTGTCTTGCAAAGCAAACTGCCCTTTGCAAAATCAATTTCCTCTAATTCATATAAAAAACTCTAGCAATGAATTCAGTGTGAAATAAAATCTTATATTGTTCCCCTCTTTATATCTAAGTTTATGAGGCGAATCAGGCCTAAATTAACTCTGAAATATGGATTGTAGGATCAACAATGCCTTGAGATCAGCCATCAGCATCTCGTGGTGTCCATCTTAGATGAAGCCTCATCATGTTATTCAGGATCAACAAATTCTAACTCTCTATCTAGAGATACCTACATTTATCATCATTAATGTTTTTTGAAAATGCCTGATAACAAGAGTTATCCTTTGAAAATAAAGGGTTATTGTGTTCAATAGTACTATTACGTAGGCCTGGTAATGATACCTAGTTACCTTTAATAGATAGAGGCTTATAGACTTCAATATAAATTTAGTGTAGCAGGCTATACTAGGTACATCAGTCACACCATTCCTAAAAAATTTTTAATAGTGATTGTGGTAGGTAGTGAAATTATTTGATGCATTTCAATGTTTAAATGCATTTAATGTTTTAAAGTATATCGTAATTAATAGTCTGAGAATTTCAACTCTTAACTAATCTATGGATCATGAATTTTTGACAAAATTCCTGCTATTTTGTTAAAAATTAACTTCTGATGTTCTAAGAGTAATCATCAATTAATTTCACTATGGCATATTAATGATTGATAATTTACATGATTGTTAATGCACTAATAGTGTGTGGCTGTGCCGCTGCTAAATTCATTTCAGAAAGCTACAAAGAGTTGTACATTTGTGTGTTACCTCATGTTTAGTAGGTAGTGTATAAGTATATTCATCAGTACAGGTAGACGATCACCTGGACAAGTTACGCAGAGTGGCAGCCTCCCTGCCCAGCCTGAAGCTGGTCATTGTCGTGCCTATTGTACACCCTGCTGGGGAGGTGGATATCAGCAACGTTCCTCATGCGTGAGTGAAGCTCTCAAACACCAACAAACATCAGCAAACGTGTCAAACATTGGTGATGGTTCAGAGCATACAGTGACATTGTATATAAACATTGCATATTAGTATATGTTGGCAAAATTTGTTCCTTTAAGCAGGTTTCATTGAAGACCAGAGAATTCGTTTTATTGACAAATTTCTCATTAGTTTTTTCAACAGATCGAAGAAGATTTTTCATTTGCATTGGTAAATCAAAAATCAGATTACCGAAGGACATTTTTATTTCTAGAACGATGTTTCGAATGTTTCTATCATTCATTATCAAGTTAAAAGGCGCATTGAGTGATGGAATTTGGGTCGACATAAGTACAAAATCAAGTAAATAGGATACTACTCAAAAATCGAAATTGTTAGGAATAATTACAAAATCGCAAAAATAATTAAGAATTAAAGCACCGAAAATTACTCCGAAAACAGTCTCAATGTTCTGACAAATCCAGTAGTTTGAAGGTTGATGGCTGGGGTCCTATCCTTAATGATGAGGGCCTCAGCTATCATGAGTCGGTTGGCGTCGGGGCATCGCATGACGACGCTGATGCATTCTACCAGCACCGTACGAGTGTGGTCTCGTTGTGGGCCTCTATCAGGTGGTTCTGAGGGAAGTTGGAGACTGAGGGAAGTTGAGGGGAAACTGAGGGATGTCTGAGGGGTTACTATTCGTTTAATATTGTGCTGACGATTTTATATTTTTGTTACGGATGACAATATGTACAATATTAAGTTAGCACGGTGTCTACATCTTATCTTATTCTAACAATACTGCCGAGATCACTACAGGACTCGCCTCTGGTCTTCATAGAAGGGCTGAAGACCTGGGCGGTTGGTGTGCGCGACTCTGTTTTCAGTCCGGTGCTGTGTCCGTCCGCGGTGGTCGTTTGTTTGGTGTGTCTGCTTGTTTATTTGCGTTGGTATGTAGTTTATGTATGTATGTGTATCCTCTTGATGATAGCTACTTGGAGGTGCTGCAGGGGTGTCGCTGAATCTAGTTGGCTGGGAGTCCACTGGGCCTATTCTTGGGGTTGCAATGTTATGTATCGGCAACACTGACGGTTTGTAGGAGAGGAGGGAATCAGCCACGCGGCCTAGCTCATCCAGGGTACTACCCTCGTGCGCTACCAATGTGCTTCTAATATCATCCGGCATGGCCTTCAAAAATTTGATTCTGATGATGTCATCCCCGACGTTTAGTTGGGATGCCATATGCTGGAGGTTCCGCAGGTCGAATGAGGGTTTTTGATCCATGAACTTGTTTTGATTGATGAGTTTCTCGAAAAGCTCCGGCTTAGATTCAGTAAAGGTAGAGATTAGTTCCGCCTTCAATGCTTCGTAGTCGCATCCATTAGCTGCTGCGTCGCTGAGCTTGTTCACGATGTCTTCAGGCAAGTTTCCATGGAGATAGGCAAACTTAGTTGCAGGTGAAGTTATGCGCGCCATGGTGAATTGTGACTCCGCCTGGCCTATCCAGCGGCTGATATTATAATGGTTGAAGCGAGGAATCTTGACCGACACATGGTGGACGTTTCCTTGGTGTTCTGGTTCTTCGGTGGCAGTGACGTTCTCGTTGGTGTTAGCGACGGCGTTGGCGTAGTTGGAGTTAGTTGCCATTTCGGGGTTTGTATTTTCCAGGCCGGTCAACAATATGGTTTGGGTGAATATCTGAGTGCTGTCTAGGTGGGTGTTTGTTCTGGGTCACCACTGAGGGAAGTTGGAGACTGAGGGAAGTTGAGGGGAAACTGAGGGATGTCTGAGGGGTTACTATTCGTTTAATATTGTGCTGACGATTTTATATTTGACTGAGGCTTCCCTAAATAGAGGTAGGTTAATAGGTGATGCTGGTCCGAGTTTCAGTTTATTAGTTTGATGTCAACATGTATGTGAAATAAGGTAAGGCCCAGTGTATAGATATCACAACACTTATAAGGAACTACTAAGGAGTCACGGTGGCAACCTCGCGTGACGGCGTCAGAGTAAGAGTGAGGGCTCGGAATAGGCCTCCGGGAAAAACGGAAGTCTTTCAAAAATGTTGCCATCGTTAGGTATCAAATTGTGCTATGGTTGCTGTTCTAGAGTTCAATTTTATAATTGTTCTTGGTGTCTACATCTTATCTTATTCTAACAATACTGCCGAGATCACTACAGTTCCTCGGTCCACCAGACTGAAGGTGGCACGTGAGACGTCGGCTTAAAGCCCTGATTGAAAACCGAGAGGCTTCGAACAGGCTCGGCTCTTCCCTAAGCGTTTCTTCACTAATTAGGATAGACTTTACTCCACTCGCAAATGAGATGGCGATATGAATTTTTCCATACTTACCCAGCTATTTATTTATAAGCGTCGACCAGTAACAAAAAATATGTAAACTTTGTATTAAAAGAGTTTTAATGAGAGGAAATTTCAAGAAACTTTGAATATTATTGTTCATCATGTCTGCGACTTTTTTACTTTTTTCGAGATGTTAACGGGTTGTAATTTTTATTCTCCATTGAATGGTATACTCTGCATTCCTTGATCAGCCTCCTTGTTGTAGATATTTTCTACCGAAAAATAGTTATGATCGAGCCTGCTGATACGCGGAGGGAAAATCCCGCATACTAGCTGCTCAAATGGAGGCGTTGTGCAATGTTTGAGGGGAAAGAGACGTCGTAAATTACTCAACTGTCAGCTCACGACGGGTGGCATGGTCAATGAGGGGCGAAGAATAATACGTGGCCAGTGGTCGGCCAAGTCCAATTAGTTATAGCCGACCGTTGGCCATTCCTCGGACACCTGAAAGCGATCAGTTGCCGCGAAGAAGGGTCTGGCTAGGATATCATATTACAAAGAGTACAAGCTCGAGGGTAGCGACTGGCCGAGCTTTGGGCAGATCAAGGATTTTACACGATGGTCGCGAAAACCTCGCTCTCAGACTTCGCTGCATTTTGACTACAAGCCTTAATGTTGTAGTTGTGAGCCCGATGTAGTCCATATTGGGGAGAAGTCTACAACCTTCTCTATTGCAAGAAAATTTATAGACTACATTGGTCTCTTGGAAAACTCCCGTTTTTTGCAGGGGTTATTGTTCATCACAAGATTCTGTATTTTCTTGTTTTTGTAATAAATCAGTAGTTTAATTTTATTATTAGTTACGTTCACGATGTTGTTGTGAACGATAGAATGAAGGATCCGTTCATCTGCTTTAAAACCGCTGGTCATTTGGTTCTCATAGTAGATGGTTGTGACGTTTACGTCAGTCTCTGGTTCGTGTTTCAGTCTGTTTTGGTACATTCGAAGTTTCGAAATTTCTGTGTCGATGGTTCTATTGGTAAATCCGTTATTGACCAGGATTCTTTTGCAATTTCTCAGCTCCGTATTCAAGTCATTTTTAGACGAGCAGGTTTTGAAGGCTCGTTGGATGAGAACACGTATTGTGCTTTTTTTTATAGCGCTCTGGACATTCGCTATCGGTGTTCAGGAGCACTCCCGACATCTGTTGGTTTTCTGGTTTTCGGTATACTTTTGTGACGAACGAATTATTTTTAGCTTGAACGAGTATATCTAAAAAAGGTAAGGTGCGATTTCGTCCGAGTTCGTAAGTAAACTTCAAGTCAGAATTCATTTCAAAGGCCATTCGTAGATTCATCAGTTGTTCTTCATCTCGAACGACAACGAAGATATCATCGACATACCTGCAGTATAATTCAGGCTTGATCTGTTCATCTGAAAGTACTCGATTTTCAATTTCGCACATATAGTATTCAGCAAAAGTAGGACGGTAGGACCAAGGGGACTGCCCATGGCTACGTCGTTGGTTTGTCGGTAAATTTTATTGTCCGGTATCCGGAAAGGTAATTCGGCAGTGCAAAGTCGAAGGAGATCGAGGAGAATTTTCTTAGGTATTGGTGGAGCCGGTAACGTTGGATGAGAATATACGTGCTTCCCAATGATTTCTAATGTTTCTTCAGTAGGGATGAATTCGAGAATTTTCTCTGGTGAACGCCGTTGTGAAGAGGCTGGTGAATCACCAGCCTACTGGTAACCAGTCCCTACTGATTCACCAGTCACCTACTGGTGATTCACCAGACTGGTGGACCAACGAATCACCAGTCTGGTGGACCAAGGAACCACCTGATGGAGGCCCACAACGAGACCATCATTCGTACGGTGCTGGAAGAATGCACCAGCGTCGTCATGCGATGCCCCGACGCCAACCGACTCATGATAGCTGAGGCCCTCATCATTAAGGATAGGACCCCAGCCATCAACCTTCAAACTACTGGATTTGTCAGAACATTGAGACTGTTTTCGGAGTAATTTTCTGTGCTTTAATTCTTAATTATTTTTGTGATTTTGTAATTATTCCTAACAATTTCAATTTTTGAGTAGTATCCTATTTACTTGATTTTTGTACTTATGTCGACCCAAATTCCATCACTCAATGCGCCTTTTAACTTGATAATGAATGATAGAAACATTCGAAACGTCGTTAAAGAAATAAAAATGTCCTTCGGTAATTTGATTTTCGATTTACCAGTTCAAACGAAAAATCTTGTTCGATCTATTGAAGAAACTAATAAGAAAATTGTCAATAAAACTAATTCTCTGGTCTTTAGTGAAACCTGCTTAAAGAAACTTTGCATGTTGCACATGCACTGACATTACATAGCATGCAGTGTTATTGTATATAAACGTTGCATATTGCACATGCACTGACATTGCATAGCATGCAGTGACATTCATACAACTAAGAACTATTGCATATTAATACAACATTCATCTTGAAACTGAACATTCGTGAGCAAACATCACTACCTACATATAAGTGTCTCCTTTTAGTGACGCGGTCGTCATAGATACAGAGTGTTGTGCATGTGGTAGGAGCTGCTGCACAATAATGCTTCTGTAAACATCGCTCATAATCATTTGTGCTCATTGGTAGTAATCTTTTAATCTTGATGCTTCTGTGCCGGTATTCTTAAAACTGAGACCCGGAGATTAAGAACTGAGTAAGTAATTGTAATACGCACGGCTTACCTTACACTTACATTCTCGCAATAATTTCCTCTGACTTCGTATTTCCCACCCTTGTTAGTTCCAAATTGCAATGATTAAAAAATTGCAAATGCATTTTTGTATTTTCCTAATACGTTGGGATTGCATCCAATTTTGCTTGTTTGTTCACGTCAAAAGTCCTTTGTAATGTTAATTCGTTTTTCAGGTGTACGGTACACCTTAATAAAGAAGCTAGAATCCGCTGCGTGTTTCTTTCTTGGACAGAATGTCCGAGCGGCGTGATAACATTAATAGATGATTAATGAGGCATGATAACAATAATAAATGATTAATATTATGATCTATTATACACAGGGTTCTCAGTGAGGACTTCCTGACGTCAGTCACGACTGACGAAGTCGTGCCCTTTGCGCAAGTCGCGTTCGACGCGCCGCTCTTCATCATGTTCTCCTCCGGCACGACCGGGGCGCCGAAGTGCATCGTGCACGGCGTGGGGGTGAGTTCACTGCATCGTGCACGGCGTGGGGGTGAGTTCACTGCA